GAGAAAAGGAACGCCATGCGGAAGCTGTCGTCTTTGTGAAGTCATTACTGGAACAACGAACATCAACATCAATTACTGGAATATAATCGGGAAGGCAATCCCCGATTCGCAATATCTATCTATGACTATCTATCTATGAATATCTTTGCTATCTATTTGTATCTATCTATGAATATCTATATATGAATATCTATATCTATATGTATATTTATACATGAATATCTATATATGAACATATATATATATTATGTGTATTTATATCTATCGACAAATATCTATCAGTTTCTGTATCTAGCTATAAATATTATCTAAGATCTATCGATGAGTATCTATATCTACATGTATATATATATATAGATATATATATATATACATTTAAACATATGTATGCATCTATGCGCTCCATCATTGTGTTTGCATGGCTGACATCTTAGACATAGCACACTTGCAAACATGTCTTAGGACTTGATCGCTTTGGCGAAGGTTGCTGCCCCGAAATTCTTCTCCCGAAAAGTTTCACCTGCTGTGCATGTCGCAAAAATCGGTGCGTTTGGGTGTGAGGGCCGTCTTTGTTTAACGAGGCAAGTCAGGAAAGGCTCGAAAGGTGGAGCTCTTCCCACTTATGTTCGTTGGCCTAGTTAGAAACCAAAAAGTTATTACAGTTATAAGAGGTTTTATGTTAAAGTACGTTAAAGTTATTATAGTTATTAAACCAACTGAGCTCTCGACCTCAGGTGGGTGCCTTGCCGCCGGTACCTCCAACGGCTCTCTGGTTCGCCTCCAAAGCTGAGGAACTCGAGAGGCGAGCCGTGGTCCTCATTGGGGAATGGGATTTGATGATGATGATGATGATGACGATGATGCTGATACTACTGTCAAAATAGTAGTAACAGTAGTAGTAGTAAAAGTAGTAGTAGTAGTAGTAGTAGTAGTAGTAGTAGTAGTAGTAGTAGAAAGAGTAGTAGTAGTAGTCGTCGTAGTCGTAGTCGTAGTCGTAGTCGTGGTAGTAGTAGTAGTCGTGGTGGTAGTAGTAGTAGTAGTAGTAGTAGTAGTAGTAGTGGTAGTAGTAGTGGTAGTGGTAGTAGTAGTTGTGGTGGTGGTAGTAGTAGTAGTAGCAGTAGTAGTGGTACTGGTAGTGGTAGTGGTAGTAGTGGTAGTAGTAGTAAGTAGTAGTAGTAAGTAGTAGTAGTAGTAGTAGTAGTAGTAGTAGTAGTAGTAGTAGTAGTAGTAGTAGTAGTAGTAGTAGTAGTAGTAGAGTAGTAGTAGTAGTAGTAGTAGTAGTAGTAGTAGTAGTTAGTAGTAGTAGTCGAGTGGTAGTGGTAGTGGTAGTGGTCGTGGTAGTGGTATGGTAGTGGTAGTGGTAGTAGTAAGTAGGAGTAGGAGTAGGAGTAGTAGTTCGGAGTCGGAGTAAGTAGGGTAGGAGTAGCAGTAGCAGTAGCAGTAGCAGCAGCAGCAGCAGTAGTGGTAGTGGTAGTGGTAGTGGTAGTGGTAGTGGTAGTAGTAGTAGTAGGAGTAGGAGTAGGAGTAGGAGTAGGAGTCGGAGTAGGAGTAGGAGTAGGAGTAGCAGTAGCAGTAGCAGTAGCAGCAGCAGCAGCAGCAGTAGTAGTAGTGGTAGTGGTAGTGGTAGTGGTAGTAGCAGCAGTAGTAGTAGTAGTCGTCGTCGTGGTAGTAGTAGAAGTAGTAGTAGTAGTAGTAGTCGAAGGAAGTTTAGAAGTCAAACTTCCGACAATATGGACAGATGAAAAGCAGAGCAGGGAAGAGGCAGAGAGAAGAGAAAGATTAGAAGAAAGAAGAGTAGAAGAGAAAGAGTAAGAAGAAAGAAGATGCAGATGCCGGAAAAGGTAGGAAAGTCGCGAAACAGTGTGTTTTCCCAATGATTTGGGGCTCTGGAGGGTCCAAAAGTAGGCTCGCTAAAGCGGCGGGTGCGGAGCCAGCTGGCCAGATGAGAGATGAAAAATTGCACGCCGTTGTGGCGCGAAGCAGATTTGCAAGTCAAAATGTACAAAACACACCAGGTGCGGACCACTTTTGGCAGTTGAGATGTCGAAAAAGTGCACGCCGTTGTGGCGCGAAGCACATTTCCAAGTCAAAATGTACAAAGCACACCATTGTCGGACCACTTTTGGAAGTTCAGATGTCGAAAAAGTGCACGCCGTTCACTTCGAAGTGAAAATGTGCAAAGCACCACATGTTCGTGCCACTTTTGGAAGTTCCGATGTGGAAAAAGTGCACGCCGTTGTGGCGCGAAGCACATTTCGAAGTGAAAATGTGCAAAACACCACATGTTCGCGGCACTTTTGGAATCTCCGATGTGGAAAAAGTGCACGCCGTTGTGGCGCGAAGCACATTTCGAAGTCAAAATGTTAAAAACACCAGGGGTTCGGACCACTTTTGGAGGTTCAGATGTCGCTTCGCTTCGCTTCTCTTCGTTTCGCTTCGCTTCCCTTCGTTTCGCTTCACTACAATACACTACATTACATTACACTACACTACACTCCACTACACAACACTACATTACACTACACTACATTCCACAACACTACAACTATAACTACACAACTACACTCCACCACACTCCACTACACTCCACTACACTAAATTACACTACACCACACTACACTACATTACACTACACTACACTACACTACCTTCCACTACACTTCACTACATTACACTACACTACACTCCACTACACTACAACTACAACTACAAAACTACACTCCACTATGCTCCACTACACTCCACTACACTAAAGTACACTACACTACACTACATTACACTACACTACACTCCACTACACTACATTACACTACACTACACTCCACAACACTACAGCTACAACTACACTCCACTCCACTACACTCCACTACACTAAATTACACTACACTACAGTACACTACATTACACTACACTACACTCCACTACACTACTTTACAATACACTACACTACCTTCCACTACACCTCACTACATTACACTACACTACACTCCACTACACTACAACTACAACTACAGAACTACACCCCACTACACTCCGCTACATACTACACTCCACTACACTACACTACATTACACTACACTCCACTACACTACATTTCACTACACTACACTACCTCCCACTACACTTCACTACATTACACTACACTACACTCCACTACACTACAACTACACCTACGACTACACAAATACACTCGACTACACTCCACTACACGAAATTACACTACACTACACTACATTACACTACATTCCACTACACTCCAATACACTATACTACATTACACTACACTACATTACATTGAATGACACTGCACCACAGATAGACAGGTAGACAGTTAGACAGATAGACAGATAGACAGATAGACAGATAGACAGATAGACAGATAGACAGATAGACGGACAGACAGACAGACAGACAGACAGATAGATAGATAGATAGATAGATACATAGACAGATAGACAGGTAGACAGCTAGACAGATAGACAGGTAGACAGCTAGACAGATAGACAGATGAAAGAGAGAGAGAGGGAGAGAGAGAGAGAGAGATAGATAGATAGATAGACAGACAGACAGACAGACAGATAGATAGATAGATAGATAGTTAGATAGATAGGCAATTAGATGAAAGACAGAGAGATAGATAGATCGATAGATAGATAGATACACAGAAGATAGATAGGTAGGTAGGTAGATAGTCAGAGAAAGAGAGAGAAAGAGATGAGACATCAATCACCTTTCGATCCATCAGTGGCTTCGCTCTGCCATCCCGGATTCACAACAACCAACCTTTCCTATAGGTTTCCTATTTTTGAAACTTCCGCCATCGCCTTGTGCGGTACTACTGGTAGTAGTAGTAGTAGTAGCAGTAGCAGTAGCAGTAGCAGTAGCAGTAGCAGTAGGAGTAGTAGGAGTAGTAGTAGTAGTAGTCGTCGTAGTAGTAGTAGTCGTAGTCGTAGTCGTAGTCGTAGTAGTAGTAGTAGTAGTACTACTACTAGTACTGGTACTAGTACTGGTACCAGTAGTAGTAGTGGTAGTAGTGGTAGTGGTGGTGGTGGTAGTAGTAGTAGCAGTAGTAGTAGTCGTAGTAGTAGTAGTAGTGGTGGTGGTGGTGGTAGTAGTAGTAGTAGTAGTAATGATAATAATAATAGTAGTATTATATATAATGGTTGTAGTAATCTACACATATCAAAAAAAGAACTAGTGATGATGATGATGATGACGACGACGACAACAATGATGATGGTGATGATGGTGTGTCCACTGTTTATACACGTATTTAACTCTCACGATTAGGGGATGGGGTTTAATGATGGATAGGATTAATCATGATGATAATGATCCAGCACGATAATAGTAACGAATGGTGATTGACGATGGCAAGAATAATGCTGATAAAGACAGCAATAGTACGTATTTGTGGGATATTCTACTACACATTGATATACCACACACTAATAACAAGTCTAATAGCAATAGCAATATTTTGTATCCAACTACATATCGATTTGTTTTTGGCATGGGAACCATCTTTAGCAGAAAAAAAACCAATAGATCCAAAATTTGCTCCAAGGTCACGATTCAGGGGGTGCTGCGAATTCTGAACACCACCTTAAGATACCGATACCTCAAGATGGAAAAATAATGACTGATTGGGTGATGTTGACATCGGACATGTCACAACGCCTGTGGTTTCAATCCGATTAGGGTTTACTTTGGATGATAGACTCAACCCATTGAACCGCGACAAAAATGGCTCAAGCTGAAACAAAGAACCATGAAGGCCCTGAAAACTGCAGGCCGCGAACATGGACTCACCGAGTCAGCGAGCTCCAGCATTTCAATCCCAAACTAAGCACTGGTTTGCAGGGTCAGCATTGCAACAAACTCCAACAGTCAGAACTCCTTTGTGTCCTGTGAATCTTATCACCCACTTCACCACAATCCAGTGTCACGGAAACTCACCATGGACTGCAATCAAAGAGCAACTATTTGAACCATCCAATTCAACGCTCTGCGCCCGGGCTCGTGACAACATGATGTTGAAACTTGGAGTGGGTGGTATGGAATTATCAGGGTTCCTCATTTCACCATATGGGGTAATGTCCAGCTCTGTAGGTTTTCTCTGGTATCCAACCCAACCAAATATTTTTTGTAGGTTTCTGCGCATCCTGTTAAGCTGTTTTCCACTCTCATTTTGTCCACCCCAGTTGACCAGCATAAAGATTGCCATTTTGTGGTGTACCCCGTGCTGACTGGTCAGGGTTCAAAAGCAGGGAGTTCGACTTCGTTTTGAGGCTGATTTTGGCGGATTTTGCTTCAAAGATTGAATGATTGAGACCCACGAAAATGGACTAACCCAGAACCATTTTCTCTTTTTGGGTCGATGAACTTTGGATAAATGTATATACATGACTTACATCTGTATATAGCTTATTACATATATATATATATATCATTATGATCAAATTATGTAGATAATGTTATACGCATCATATTATATATATATATATCATATTATACATACACAATGTGTGTATGCATGTGTTTATTTTATTCATGTTTATATATATATATATATATATGTATATGTATATGTATACAATTGTATATGTATATGTATACAATTCTGCACAAATTATAGCGAGGACAGCCGAGGCAACGAGGCAGGTTGCAGGAATTAGCGAGGTCAGCCCTTAATTTGCTCATCAGAATTAGCCGACCTCGACGAGGTAGCATTGCATTGGTTCTGTTGCATGCTTGGGTTTGGCTAGAAAAACTTTTTTGGGGGCCAGAGGCCGGTCAGCAGGCAAGGAAGGAAAAAAAACTTTTCAGGCCCCAAAAAGTTTTATTTTCTATCGCCAGAGGCCGGTCAGCAGGCAAGGAAGGAAAAAAAACTTTTCAGGCCCCAAAAAGTTTTATTTTCTATCGCCAGAGGCCGGTCAGCAGGCAAGGAAGGAAAAAAAACTTTTCAGGCCCCAAAAAGTTTTATTTTCTATCGCCAGAGGCCGGTCAGCAGGCAAGGAAGGAAAAAAAACTTTTCAGGCCCCAAAAAGTTTTATTTTCTATCGCCAGAGGCCGGTCAGCAGGCAAGGAAGGAAAAACAACTTTTCAGGCCCCAAAAAGTTTTATTTTCTATCGCCAGAGGCCGGTCAGCAGGCAAGGAAGGAAAAAAAACTTTTCAGGCCCCAAAAAGTTTTATTTTCTATCGCCAGAGGCCGGTCAGCAGGCAAGAAAGGAAAAAAAACTTTTCAGGCCCCAAAAAGTTTTATTTTCTATCGCCAGAGGCCGGTCAGAAAACTTTTCAGGCCCCAATAAGTTTTATTTTCTATCGCTAGAGGCCGGTCAGCAGGCAAGGAAGGAAAAAAAACTTTTCAGGCCCCAAACAGTTTTTTTTTTCTATCGCCAGGTCAGCAGGCAAGGAAGGAAAAAAACTTTTCAGGCCCCAAAGAGTTTTATTTTCTATCGCCAGAGGCCGGTCAGCAGGCAAGGAAGGAAAAACAACTTTTCAGGCCCCAAAAAGTTTTATTTTCTATCGCCAGAGGCCCGCTTCGTGGGTTGATGGCTGCAGAAGCAGTAGGATTCAGAGTTGCTCCAGAAGAGCATTGCATCTCTGCGATAATGTCAGAGATGTCACCACCCAAGCGCAAGAAGCGCAAAGACCGATCAGACTCAGATTTAAAAATCCCTGCAAGAGACCGTGGATCGTGGAAAAAAACTTTTTGGAAGCTGAACAGTTTTTTTCCTTGGGGTTGGACCCTGGAAAGAAGGCCCACAAGCCACTTTCTTCCTTCGAATTAACGAGGTAAAGCCTTAATTTGCACCTGCAAATTAACGAACGAGGACAGTAATCATGGGGAACAAATTAAGACACGAGGGAGACGAGGTAAGAATTAAAGTAATTTGGCCAGACAATTGTATATGTATATGTATAATGTATACGTATACATAGACATATACGGTATATACGTATACATATATATGTTTTTAACAAATCCACAATGATGTTTCTTCATATTCCCGGAGAGTATCCCAACTGTCAGACACCTCAAAACTCAGGATCCGCCACTCCAGTCGTTGCTGTGCCTCTCTGGGACGCACGGCACGCATGGCCGGACGCCTGGAATCTGCGAGCAGACGACTCTTCTCCAGTCAGAAACCACCCAAGGTGCGAAAATCGGCAGAAACCTTTGGGGTATCCTTGAAATTCATAGGAAATTCATAGGAACATATAGGAAATAAGGATTTTAGTTGTGTGGATTCTGATCCTGGCTAAAAGATGGGTACTGTGGGTACCCCAAATTTGATGGGAAACATCATAGGATCATTGGCCACCAATGGCCATATTTTGTGTGCACCCATTTTCAAAGACACCCAGAAAGAAAGGAGAACCATTGCGAAGGGCTACAATAGTACTTTAGTGGCTTTCGAGATTCTGTTAATCACCAATGCAGGGTTTTCAGTCGTTCGAACCAACTAGAAAGACCAAGGTGCGCCATCAAACATAGTCAAAGCTGGGATGTTGAGTTCGTCCTGTTGCTTTGCCAATAAAAAAATGAGATGGCCCGGCTTTCTCTGGGTTTCACCTTTTCACCACAGCATCACCAGAGACCTGCCAGTGCCTGCCAGCCAGGGATTTGAAAGATACTACAAGAATAAGAAAGGGCAAGGACAGCCGGAAAAGCCCGAAAAGCCGAAAGAGACCGGAAGGTGCCCGCGGGGTACGATGGGGGTATTTATGGATGATTTCATGTGGACATTTCGGTGGTGGATGCCCATAGATCAATCCGCTTGGGTATCCCAAGTTTGGGAGGCTGCACCGATAGACAATTCTGGTGGTGGAGTGGGTCCCCACATATGATATTTTGTATCATATGTTTCATCTGTGGATTGGGTCCGCGTCGAATTGGGTCTTCCCAATTTTGAGACCATTTTTGGTGGTTGATTGACCATAACCCCATCGGCATGGAGTTCCGATTCCACTGTTTCAACATGATTTAAATCCAGACCTTGAAACCCGACCACATATTTATAGATGTTCATTCAAATTCCACTGCTTCCCTTTTATCCTATATATATATATGAATATATAATCGGTATTTATTCATCAAATACAAATACACACACACAAACATATTTGTCTCGAACATGTCCGACCCAAGCGATTCTTTCCAGTCTCCGAAGCCTAGGACTTCGGAATCCCAGTCCTCCAAGAAGGAGGGCCCGAAGGAGGACCCCAAGTCCCCCACAGCGGCTTGGACAGTGATTTCCCACGGTTTTTCCATACGACTCCCATAAGAAACCCCTAGGGACCGCATGGGAAGATTATGGGAATGGGGGTCTCATTGGTCCTGGAAAAAACATCGACATTTTTCGAGTTGTCAAGTTTTAGCGATCATTTCCAAGCCACCAAGATGATGCTTGGGCTTCTGATTCTCCGGTCCAGTGAACCTGGCAGGAGCCAATTGAATGTTCCATTGCAATATATTGCCTTCAAACAAGAGCTGATGAAGGATATGGTTCATGGTTCATGGATGGGGTGAGATGCTGAATGATCCCGGAAATCAAGAAGTTCGGGGGCCCATGGTGTTCACGACTTTCGGCAGGTTTTTTGGCGTTCCCTTCCCCACAATCTTCCTGTCTTGTGAATTTCCTGGAGCTCACCGAGATCCTTTGTTTTAGTTGGTAAACGTAACGTTATATCGATTGTTGGCTTTATATTACCACTGCGTCGTTGTGATATCGGAAACATTCTCAAAGCATCCATTTATTCTGGATTGTGTACATGCATACATTGCGTTACGTTACATTGCGTTACATTAGATTACGTTATGTTGCAGTAGGTTACGTTGCATTACGTTACGTTATATTATGTTACATACTTGTATACATACATATACGCATTCTTTACACCCTTGTTTTTGATCTCCTTTACTGCTTGGTGATACTTAGGGCCTTGACAACCAACGAGTAGCTTCTTGGCGCAAGCGTTTTTTTTTGCAACGGTTGAGGTGGACACCTTTTTGGAGTTTGTGGTTTCAATTTTATGTTGCTGTACACAGGGATAGATGTCATAGCTATTATGTATTATGTGTGTATATAGATATATAATGATATATAAGACACAAAGATCTCTGGTTGGCTTTAGATTGGGAAGCTTTCCATTTTTGAAATAACCGATAAACCCAGGAAACAGCGACTCCTTTTAGTCCGAATTTGGCGACAGATCTTTCCCGGTGATTCCCGGGAGAGAAGCAATGGATCATTGAGTTTGGTGTCAGCCCGGCCACCTGAACATTCAATTTATTTCAATCCATTTCATTTCCATCATATTTTTTCGCTGCCAAGAGCAACAAGTCAAAGGGTCTGCCAAATTTAAAAGCACAGATCACTGCTGCAGCATCTGGCCTGTCAGCCTTGCGTTCTAGGGCGGATCATGTTGGTGCTGCGATTGGCGGATCATGTATTGAACTCCCCCTATTTTGGGAAGGTCAGCTTCCCAAAATAAACGACCATCACCATTGGGTCCAACACAAGACCACGTTTTTCTGGGCAAACCTTAGTGAAAGAATGAAGGGTAGGTGCTGAATGGTGCTTATGTTTTTTGGCTTTGAATTTGCGGCGGTTGGCTCACATCCCTTCATGTTGGAGCCAGCGATATATGTCCTTTCAGATTCAGTCATACACAGTCGTTGATTGTTTGACGTATATTCATATAATTAAATTATGTAGTTATATGATGTTATATGTAGCTTTATAGACTGTATGTCATGAGTCATAATCATATATAACTATACAATCAATCATAACAATGACGATAATAAACATAGTGATAATGACAATGACAATGATAATAAAAAAAGGATAGTAACAAAAACAACAATAATAATCTCAGATAATATGATAAGGACATATATATATATAGGTATGCAACAATTATATCTAAGAACATGCAATTTACAAACATATACAATTATATATGATTCAATATAACTATAATAGACATAGATATTCACAGATCACATATATCCTTTGTGCTGGTGACAGCCATGAAATGTTTCGAGGTGCGCGTGTCGCTCTTGACGATGGCTGGGGTCTTGGTCTTGAGCCTGTTGAACCAAGACAGGAGGAACGAAGGCCGGGTGCGCAACGAATGGCCCGGGGTATGGCTCAAAAAATTCGGGATACCCTTAGCTAATTTAAGGTAGCCAACTGGAAAATCATCATTTTGAATAGGTAGTAGGTATAGGTAGGTAAAGGTAGGTAAAGGTAGGTAAATCATCATAAATCATCATAAACCAACAGTTACCCTCCAGCAATCAACCGTGAACGTTCTAGCTGGGAAAGTCCTCGAACTAAATGGGAGATTTTTCAGCGAGCCATGTTTGATTACCAGAGGGTACCGCAGGAATTACTGTCAAACACATTGGGGAATGGGTGATAAACCACTGGATACCACTGAATTTGGAGCTCCCATACTCGAAGGATCACGTCATGACTAGTTTTGGTGTTAGTTTATTCAGTTACACATGGGATAAGCCCAGAGAATGAAGACTTAGTCACAGGATACATAGTTGTTTTACAACAACTTAATCGAAGGAAGTTTAGAAGTCAAACTTCCGACAATATGGACAAATGAAAAGCAGAGGTGGGAAGAGGCAGAGAGAAGAGAAGAGTAGTAGAGAGCAGATCAGAGAAGAGAAAGAGTCAAACATACATGATCATACATTATGTGTACACTGTGTACACATTCATATATATATATGATTATATATATGTATATATATATATATATAAATACATATATACACATTATATGCACAGCGGCAGCATTGTCAGGTGAAATCACCTCACAGGAATTGCTGAAGGACTACTTGATGAAAGGTTTGGTGGTTTCTCGGCTCCATATGGTCTTTAAAGGTGACCACGACCAGCTGGGTTGACGACAACTTGAAGATGTAGATTCAGAGCTATGGGATTGTTTTCTGCAGTTAATTAATAACGGAAATATATGGAAATTGATTTTTGACGTTTAATTGGTACACTGTGTTGGATACTATCCAAGCAAACAGTGGGGAAATCACAACTGCCCACCACTGCAACGAGGAGGCATTGGTATTTGTGGGACGCTTTAAGATTTCGAACTCCCCAGCCCATTGATTCCAGTCATTTTCAGAATTTGACTATGGAATTTTGCGGGTTACCTAAGGACTCGAAAAACTTTGTATTCCCCTGATTGATATAGTAGAGGGGGCAGAAAGAAAATGATTTCATGTGCTGTTCTAAAGGAACCTCTCTAATCAACCTAACCAGGCGTTATAGGCATCTGACAAAGTCGTGCCTGTTTTAGGGAAAAACCATTGTACCGTTGGGGAAAGTGTTTTGGAAAAGTCGTGCCTTTAGCAAGAACGCAGGGGAACTTTGGAGTCTGGTTATGCAACCCTTTTTCTTATGAGATCCTTTACTCAACACTACTACCATGCAGATTTACATGTTTGGGGTATGTTGATTAGTCAATTGTAAGACGGCGTTGAGGTGGTGATTTGGCCATGTTGGTTCTTCATCACTCAAAAATCATTGTTTTTTTGGGGGGGAGGGAGGGGGGGGCAGAGGACCGCGAACCCTACAGCCATACCATTGCAAGAGCTGGAGGCCAAAATCCAAATCGTCAACAAGACCTTCTGCAGAGTTCACCTTCGACCCGAAGTCCAGGGTGCGGGGGCGAGCATGGGTTGGATGAACATCCTTTTACCCGCTGTTTTGGTATGATGTCGGGGCTACCGAGTTCAACCACCCAAACTTAAGGTCTTTGGAAAATCAGTGTCTTGAACATGAAGCACTTCTGGGTGGAATATCAGCCCTTGAATTCATCAAGCACCTGGCTTCTGTGAAGATTTTCCGCTTGAAAGAATTGAAGGCATGTTGTCAGCCGCTTGGCAAGTGGTCTAGGTACTTATCCCTCCTAGTCCTACTCCTACTCTATCAGGCAGTGTTGACAAGAAGTGCTGCGAAATCGGTATGGAGATGTATGGAGCAATACCAAACAACAATAAACAACATAATAAATACTCGCTGGTTGTTCTTCGCATCCCAACATTGTCACCCACTGCTTGAATTTCTTGTTGCAGATTACCAGGGTGACCCATTTTCACACTTCCTTTGTGAGGTGGCGATGCTCCAAAGACTCTGACGATACAGTTTCTGGTTCTGAAAAATGCAGGCGGACACGGAGATTTCGAGGGCTAAACCACCGAGGCTGGGAGAGCAGAATTTACGCACTGAACGCTTGCGAGAGAAGCTTGCAATCCGCGAACTTTGTTTTTGAACAAGAATGAGTAGAAGAAAAATCGCCACGATATTATGCCACCACTAACTCCCGCATTTGCTGCGTTTCCTTCCAAAAAAATGCCACAAAAGAGGGGCCCCAAAGATTCCGTGGACCGCGTGTTTCGCGGCCGCTGAGGTTGGGGAGCCCCGAGACTTTTGAGGCGAAACTGGAACAGGCTCAACACGATTTGGGGATTCCTTCCGTGGAGCAGATCCCCATCCAGTCCCTTGATGTTTTGGGCAGTGTGGGTAGTGGGAAACCGAGGTTTGAATATGTTTTACAGTTTTTTACAGTAAGTTTGAAACATCTTGAAATCATGAGGGTATTTTCAGAGCCTGGCAGAATCTTGCTGGTGATGGATGGTGATGGATGGTGATGGATGGTGATGGATGGTGATGGATGGTGATGGGTGTAGCCGGTGACGGTCCTTTTTAGGGGGTGAAAACGAGCAAAGACCTTCTGCTGCTGCCGGCTGGAGTTGATATAGAGCTTAACCAGCCGCATCCTATCACAGCTTAACGATGACCATTGCAGCAAGGTTGACCGGCCTAGGTTGCAAGCATGTAACACAAGATTGTGACTGCTGACAGAGCATATGTATATATATATAATATAACATATTATAACATAATGTAACACAAGATTGTGAATGTTGACAGAAAACATCAGAAAACACAAGAGGATGCAAATCGTTCCATACATCCAACAAGCAAAATCACATGAGGATCATGGGCTGTTTTCAACTAAACTTGCCATGTTTAGCAGATGAATTCTGAGGGTCTCTGCACACCAAAAATGGGGACTCAACCAATCCCAAAGGTGACTTCCTAGTAATATCCAGTAATGGATGAAGTGCCCTCATAAAGCCATAGAAAGTCGTTTTTTGTTGGTTACATTGTAGAACATCTACTCGGGACCGTAAATTCTACCCGTAAATCCAACAAGAATCCCAGTGAGGTCGCCGTCATCAGGGTTGAATCCCAGCAGTCAGCAGTCGAGGTATGTTGAGGAGTCGGACTTTCTCTCGGATCTTTTACCCCAACTTCCAGGGCTTCTCTTTCTGGTAGCGTCTTGGCGATGACGACACGAACGACGACACGGAGACACAGTATTTTTGTGGACAGGTGGGAACATGGATGCCTGGAATATTAGTAGATGTTGGTGAGGAATTGTCCTATTGCTTTGTTTGATGATGAATTAACAACTTCTTGGTGGAAGAAGTTGAAACCCTAAATATGGCTGCCAACCGAAAGCGAATGACCTCTCGTTCACAGGCCTCTATGTTTATACTAAGTTACATCAAATCTGCAAACATATGGTAAGAAACATGGGGTATACCGCGAAAATCGCACTTTTAGCAACGCAATGACCATCCAATAGAATTGGAGGCACACCATTTTCACATCCAAAAAACCCATAATACGCAGGGTTTCAGACTATTTAGGTCAGTCATGGTTTTAAAGGCACAATAAGAAGCGGCACGCAAGGAATTACGATTCATCAACCAAACCAGGAAAACACATTTTGGCAAACCGTCATAGCCAACGTACCTCAAAGGGTTGTGATTCTCGTGCTATCCTGAATTAGCGGGACAAACATTTTTCAGCTGGCAGCCTCCCTACTGGTATTTTGGGTTTGTCCTCATTAGTTTTCAAAAAACAAAAACACACAGTGCAGTTTTTTTGCACACACCTGTTTCATATTGTTGGATGTATATATATATATATAGGATTAGATAGGTAGATACATATATATATATATAATATTCCCATCAAACAGATCCCCATAAAACATAGCCCCATGAAATTTACTCGAGTACTCCAAGTTTTCATGGATGGGATGAAAACCTCTCAGTTCCCACAGATATGAACATCCAGAAATCCCAGCGTTTTTTTCGTCCAGTGGACCCGGGGATTCCATGGGTTTGGTTTGGACCCATAGCCGTGCCAAGACTTGGAGGATCATCCCACGGATCAGAGGTGGTAACCTGACTCACCACTTAGGTATGCATGGCATCCTCTACAAGTATTGATGTGGTTAAAACCATAATAAACAATTCCCCAGTCATCCCAATTTTATGGGTGGTATAAACCATCAAAAATGATTTTTTTTGCTATTGAAAATGGCCCAGTCGAAATAGCTGATTTACTCATTGAAAATAGTGGATCTTTCATGATCTTTCCATAGTTTTTTGTATGTTTACCAGAGGGTACATTCCATTTGCTAACCATGTGGATGATTCCACGGTCAGCCACGGTTTTGTGATCCTTCAAGTACCAGGTGCTCTTTATGGGACTTCGATCAATGAGCCGAGGAGCTCCCGGCACCTTCGGTTTTCAGCGGTGTTCAGCGGTAAACCGGATCTGGCTTGACGCATAGATGGGGATATTCTTTGGTATATTTATTGGAAATTGACTGATATTTATTGGGAGATTCATGAGAGATAGTGTTTATGGAATATTCTCCTTTTTTATATTGGGATGTTGTATAATGGCTATCTTATTGGGATAATCGCGTGGTATTACTTGGGATGTATATGGACCCATCATTGGAGCCTTTGACAAGGCGTGCTTGTCGATCTGAAACCGTTCAGAATGGGGGAGTTGATGATTTTGACACCCGTCACACCCTCTGGCAAGCATGGCTAGCTGAAGAGTGCTCTATAAATGGAAGTATTAATGGGACGATCATGGAACTAAATACGCTTGATTTCCGGAGGGTAGTAGATTTGCAGCCCTTGAATTCAATTTAGAAGATGATTTAAATGGGGTCTAGCATCATGACTTTACCACTGGAGACGGCCCTTGTTGGGTACCAAGTCAAGGTTATGAGGTGTACCCTCCACTAAAGTAAGATAGCTTTGGACATTTGCCATTTATAAATAAATAAATAAATATATATACATATGTATATATATATACATATGTATATATATATACTATATATATACATATATATATATGTATATATATATATATCTATGGGGATATATATATATATATAGATGCTTCACCCATGACCAACGGTGATTTTTTCCAAAAAACATGTTTACAAAAGGGGGAGCTACATCACATTCAGCTTCTGGCTGACAGCGGGTGGGGAAAATGGCGGCTGACTTATCCTGGTGGTAGAAGTCGAACCAGTGGTGTGTGATGTGCTGACCCACAGTTGACCAAGATTTTCTGGGTTTCGACATGAGCCGTCATTGAATGATGCCATTTTCACCGTGGAACCCTCCGTAAAACCTGGGCTCGGCCGGGAAAAGCTCCTCCCGAGGCATGCCTGGTGCGGGTCCAGGGGGTCGAAGTATTTTCAACATCGGAAAGATCTTCCCACAGGGTGCAAAAGACTTGAAATCCAAGGCATCGGTCGAGTCTCACGAACACCTGTGGATTTGGAAAAAGGGGGCCCCACGAAAAAATGGCTCAAGAATGGGATACCCCAATGTACCCACGAAACTGGTCATTTTGTCATTATCTATACCAGTATCTTACAACAATAACATACATGCTTTAAAAAAAACACATATCTAACATATTCTAATTCTAACATCGCGTATATCAAAAACTACATATATATATACACATGAATACACGATATGTAAACTCATCCATGTTTCTGGTCAAAAAGGGCAACTTTTTTTTTCAGGTTTTTGTCTCGGCCCGGCCAATTTGTCCAGGTGAAGTTTGCAGATGTTGCGGGACTGGATCAAGCCAAAGCTGTAGCGTGGCAGGGATGATGTGGGATGGGATAGGGGATACTTCCTGGGATCGATTGTGTTAATACTGGTTAATAATGATTAATACTTGTAATGGTTAAAAAAAGGTAAATAATGGTTAATCATGGTTGACAATGGTTGATCATGGTTTTTTATTGGTTGCAAAACATGAGTTTTTTTTTTACACCCTACAATAGATTGCTTAATGGATCGCAGGTTGTTTGGTTACGGGGATTTGATGAGTTAATCCAAGATGATGACGACCAAATTCCTACAATGTGGGCCCCCCGCAGTGATGAAGCTAAGTTGGGTTATAAATCCCATGAATACTATAGTTATAAGTACCATAAACCATAGTTATTGGAGTTATAAACCAACTTAGCTATCTAGGGGGCCCCACATTGTAGGAGCCTCGCAAATTCTATAGATCTTTTGTGAGGTTGAAATGATTTTTGTTGGCTGTACATGCATAAAACACATACCGTGTCTCAAAAACTACCTGTGTTGTTTTTTTTTCCAGACTAGAATCACAAAGTTCCAACGAGAACAATGGTGGGGGTCACTTGAACCGAACGTTGGTGGTCTCACATACCAAAATCAGAGGGTGTGAGCCACTTGGATATGACCAGAACCGACTGGAATGGGGATACACTGAGTTATAAGGATATTAATAAATATATATATATACATACATACATTAGTTATAAGTATATTATATAATATATAAGGATATGATACATCCAGCTTATGTATATAGTAGAATTATTTACATGCACAGGGAATTCTTAACAAGGGGTGACTCGAGTGGCGTAGCACTATCGGTCCGCAGCACACAGCCAAGGGGTAGGGTAACATTTATGGACTCTTTTGCTTGTGAGATTCTCAGCAACAAATCAGGCAACCTTGGCCACCAGGAAGCTTGGTAAAGTCCCCCAAATGTTGCTTAACTCATCTGAATCCTCTAGAATAGCCACTTGTAGGTGGGACAACCATCTCTCGTAAGGGACCTACCACGCATCAACCATAAAAAAATCCAATTGGTCTGGTCTAAACATCAAAGAATCGTTGGTGGATGGCACGAGGAAGAGTTGGATCAGTTTTATATTGTAAACAGCACAGAATATAACCATTTATCATCACTTATCATTATATGCATTTATATAATCAGCAGGTGTGTAGATATATACAATATACATATATAATGTGGAAGGAAGCTTGTTGGATGATAGCTATTCCAAACATGTTCTTGACTTCCCAAAGTGGATGATCATGGAGCAGTGGTTGGCTAAATCCACTGGGAAATCCGATCGGGATTGGATGAAGGGGTCTGCAGGGCGCTGTGCAGGGCTGCCTTGGGCATGGCATGGTTTTTGCGCTGAGGAAGTGGTGGAGTTTGTAGATTTCCTGCAGAATCCCAAGAAATACCAGCAGCTAGGAGACTGGGAAGACTGGGAAAGTTCAGAGGTTCAGGAAGCAGTTGAACAATGTTGGATCATTTTCTTTGACGCTGAATTCCTGCAGCTTTGAAAGCACCATTATCCCACGATCCCACAGATTTAAGGCCACTTCAACATCGCATGCAAGGAAATTACCAAGTTAGCGGAAAAGACATGGTGGATCCTGAAGACTTATAGAAATTCTGAATTTTACACGCATTCAAAATTTCAGTTCACCTCCACAACATGTCTCTATGGCAGGAGCTCGCGTGCCGCGGGGTGGACTGCTAGCAGGTCCTCCAGGTACAGGGAAGACGCTGCTGGCAGCTGGGAACTGTTTGGGAAACTGGTGACCCAATGGTGAAACAGCGGGGGATATAATGGGGACACAATGGATATAATTAATGGGAATAGGAATATGAATGGAACATATTTTTTATCCCAAGACGTCACGTTTTTATTTTTTCAGGGATGCAACTTGATATTTATTGATTGGTGGTTGCATTGATATCAAGTCATCAGGTCCCCGCTCCCAAGGCAAAGGCCGTTGCGGGAGAAGCCGATGTTCCCTTCTTCTCCATGAAGCCCGGCATGGAATGTAGACATACTGATGGATGGATGAAGAAATCCTGCACCAGTTGAAAACGGCGGTTAACATCCCATGATTTATAGGCTTTCTACCATCCCAGGGTTTTTTTGCAGGATTTCGCAACCATCCATAGTATCCATAAATGGAGGTACCCCAATAGCTGGATGGTTTATTTCATGGAAAATCCATCTATAAATGGATGATTTGGGGCACCTCCATTTATGGAAACCACCACATATCAGAAAGATATCGGAAAGTCCGATGTGAGACTTTGGTTTATGTTGATGTACATGGAGTGTTGAGAGTGATGAAAGGAGGTGAGCTGAGCTTGCCCTGCTGTGGAGAGATATTGGACGAGCTGGTAGTTAGGGACGGTTAGCATCACTGATTATTCCTCTAAGTGAGGAGCTAAAGAGCCAACTTATTCCCCGCCAAGAAAGTGCGGGTAGTAGAATTGCAAGAGCACATGGTTCTCTTTTTTATCGTGCATGAAACCACTCTTGCTACAAGGAGCACCGCAAACCTTCAAGTCATCCATCCTTTCATGGAAGCATCCAGGGCTGGGTTAAACAAGGTTACAACTGAAATCTCACGCGGGAACTCAAAGTTGCCAATCCTTGTCATTCCAAATTGTAACAATGATCAAAATGAGATTGGCCCACTGAGTTCGGTGCTGACACCGATGCCCTCCTCCAGTCTGCTGACTTGTAGGTTAGTACGGTAATTAAAAAAATCATGGGATTGTAGTGGCTGCTAGTGGTTCAGAAGCCATTAATCAACCCTTACTATTTCTCCCGGCGCGCGCTGAGAAGCGGCTCGGACTTCATTGAAATGTTCGTGGGCGTTGGACCTTCGCGAGTGCGGGATTTGTTTCAACAGGCCTGGGTGGATGGCTGGGAAATGATGGGGTGAGGGGATGGGTGCTGGGTGGGTGGGAAGGGGTTGGTGAGATGCGTTTCAGAAGAAATTGACGGATTTCTCAGCAAAATGCGGTACTGTAATTTTTATCTGGAAAACGAGAGTTGCTGTTAAAAATCCGGACAAGACTCCTGGCTCCACTTTTTCTTATTTAACTCCCGATGTTCCAAACTTCTTCATATAAATCTCCATTAAACTCCCCGTTTTCGTCCTTGCACCTTGTGCCAGGCCCGTTCCCAAGCACCTTCCATCGTCTTCATCGACGAGATCGATGCTGTGGGCCGGCGCCGCGGCAATGGCGGCTTCGGGGGCGGCGGCAACGATGAGCGCGAGAACACGCTGAATCAGTTGCTAGTGGAGATGGCTACTGGGACCTGCTGAGTCTGAGTCTGCTGAGTTCCTATTCAGGTGTCATATGGAACGCCAAAAAGTGAGGTTGGAAGATGATGTTCCATGATGTTCCGATATAAGAAGTTTTTGGGCCTGGAAGTTTAAGTCCAAAAGGGGTAGAACTCCAATTGGAAAAATCACCAGAGGTGAGGAAACTGAAGGGATTTTTCTCAGCGTTGGGATCTAAGCAACAAAAGGGGGAGAGACGGGGTAGCAGAACCAACTAGGCTTGAACTAGGAATATATTCCAAAAATGGGTTTACTGGTTGGTGGTTTGGAACCATGGAATTTTATTTTCCATTTCATCGAAGGAAGTTTAGAAGTGAAACTTCCGACAATATGGACAGTTGAAAAGCAGAGGGGAAAAGAGTCAGAAGAGAAAAGATCAGAAGAAAGAAGATGCAGATGCGCGAAAAGGTAGGAAAGTCGCGAAACACTGTGTTTTTCCAATGATTTGGGGCTCCGGAGGGTCGAAAAGTAGGCTCGCTAAAGCGGCGGGTGTGGAGCCAGCTGGCCAGATGAGAGATGAAAAATTGCACGCCGTTGTGGCGCGAAGCACATTTCCAAGTCAAAATGTACAAAACACCTCAGCGTCGGACCACTTTTGGAAGTTGAGATGTCGAAAAA